TCCAATGGCCTGAGAGGGAAACGCAGCAGCTGCAGGTCTTTGTTTCAAAGTGCTCTGGGCAACGAAGGGAAAAGGCAGTGATGGGCTCGCCCTGGGCCGGAGCTCACACCCGGGGCATGGTGCATTTCCCCAGCAGGCACAGCCCACAAAGACAGCATGAGAATCGGAGAGCCTGAAACGCTAAAATGCTAAGTCTCACCAACAAGGGAGGAGCCTGTTGCTTTGCACATCACCCAGTGACCATATCTTGCTGATAAGCACCTGTTACTTTATAAGACTGTTTATCTCAAACTACTCTGACCCCTCTCACAAAACCTCTCCCTTAACCTACACAGTGCTAAGGTCCACGTGACTCAGACTTAGTTCCCGAAGGGGAGGCAAGTAAAGTAAAAAGTAAAAGGGAAGACACTAAAGTGCTGATGCCAGGACTGGGGCAGCCACCAGGGGCCGGACACCCCCCGAGCCCCACCTCTGCCCCCCTCCTGCAGCCGGCCCCCCAGCAATGCTCAGGTACAGGCCAGAACATGGGGTCCTGCAGCATGAGGCCTCCAGCGGCCCCTCCTCCACGCTCCTGTCCTGGGAACAAGACCCAGACATGACGGGGAGACTTCTGGCAGCAGCACGGGTGGGGCTAGGCATTTTCTAGAAGGATTTTTTTTTTTTTTCCCATGGAACCTGGCGAGAGAGAAGCCTGGGAGTTTCAGATGCTGGGACTTCTTGCAACCTGGACCATGCGGTCTCCAAGCTCTGCCTTAGGACTGCGCAAGGAAAGTCACCTGTCTCCTCACCTCCCCCACAGAGGCCTCCACACTGACAGAGCTTCGTCTACTCCAACCCCGCAGCTGTCAGCAGGCTTTTATGTCAGTAACTGCGACCCACACTGGTGGCGGCTGGGAATGTCAGGGGTCTGGGGTGAGGGATGCACTGGTACAGCCTGAGGGGGCCATCCGCCTTTGCCCCCGACTCTGGGCAACTTGCACGTGTGCATTTTGCGAGGCTGGCCTTCACTCACCCGTCCGGAAAAGTCACCAAACCATTAAAGGGCCTGGCCTAGTCACTGGTTGACAAATGCCACCCCATGACTAAAGACCCAGGATCGCTCTGACATGGGCAGCACCTGTACAAAGCCAGTATCCCCAAGGGCATTTGCACTCCCCCCCCACAGTGGGCACGGAAACCGCATCTTCTGTGCCAGGACCAACTGCATGCGTGGGTCATCGTCCACCCCAGGGGGCTGTCTGGGCTGGGAGCACCGACAGAGGCTTTCACGAGGTCAGGGGTCTGGAACAAAGTCCTGAGCCTGCCGTGGGGACTTCCACCGGGAAGACACGGCACAGATGGAGCACGGACATAACCCAGAGTGTGGAGGAATCAAAAACCATCCGAAAAAAAAAAATCCATCCCAAGTCATACAGGTGGATGGGTGGGTGGCTGGACGTGTGGGTGCAGGATGAACAATGAGTGATGGACGGGCAGGCGGGCGGGTCTGCGCGGTGTCGGGGACCCCGGGAGAGCGCTGCTTGTGAGGGTCCAGGCTGGAAGCTAACGAGCCCAACAGGAAAGAGTCAGCAAGGAGTGTGCATCCACAAGTGGGCAGTTCCGCCGGGGAGCAGGAATTTGGGGGGCCTTAGGGCACCCCCATCCACACACTGCTTATTTGGAGCCAGAATTGTGAGATAAAAAGTGAAGCCACTGCTGTCAACATCAGCATCCCATGCGACGCGGGTCTGAATCCTGGCTATTCCACTCCCAGCCCAGCTCCCTGCTCACACGCCGGGGAAGCAGAAGAAAACGCCGGCCCCTGTCCACGCGGGGGGCGGGGACCAGGAAGGAGCCCCAGGCCCCTGTCCACGCGGGGGAGATCAGCAAGGGGCTCCAGCTCCCGGCTGTAGCCTGGCCCAGCGCCTCCGCCATTCTGTCCACTGGGGAGTGAGGCAGGGCATGCAAGACCCTTACCTATGCCATTCAAGTCCATGTGGCTAAGGTCCATTTGTCTTTTATTTGAAAGATGGAGTTACAGAGGAAGAGAAGGTGAAAGCAACAGAAACAAGGATTGAGAGGTTCTCCCATCCTCCATCTGCTGGCTTACTCCTTAAATGGCTGCAATGGTTGGAGCTGGGCCAGTCTGAGGCCAGAAGCTTCCTCTTGCTCTCCCACATGGGTACAGGACCCCAAAGACGTGAGCCATCCTTCACTGCCTGCCCTGTAGGTGGAGGCTTGCTATGCCATGGTACTGGCCCCTTAAATTTTTTTTTCCTTTAAAAAAATGGGGCCCAGCGCAGTAGCCTAGTAGCTAGTTTTCACCCTTCACACGCCAGGATCCCATATGGGTACCAGTTCGTGTCCTAGTGGCCCCACTTCCCATCCTGCTCCCTGCTTGTGCTCTGGGAAAGCAGTAGGGGATGGCCCAAAGCCTTGGGACCCTGTACCTTCCTGAAAAGCCTGGAAGAAGCCCCTGGCTCCTGGCTTCAGACTGGCTCAGCTCTGGCTGTTGCAGCCACCTGGGGATTGAATCAATGGACAGATCTTTCCTCCTCTCTGTATATCTGCCTCCCCCAAAAAAATAAATCTTAAAGAAAACTTTTTAAGAATAAATAAATGTGGCAAAACGCGCACAGCCATAGGTGCACCTGCTAAGGGGGAACTTGGGTGTTCAACATCATTCTGTCACTGTTCTGTGAACTTGAACTCATCCCCAGACACCTCAGTTGAAAAGGAGAGCGGCTCTAGGCCATGGACTTGCTATTGCGTGGGCTCCAGAGGTGGACGCGGCGGGCCACACAGCAGCACTGCTGGCGTGCGTGGAGGCCTGGTCTGGGCATGGGAGTGACCCTGCCGAGGCTGCAGCAGCCAGCAGCACATGCGAGCAGGACCTGGGATGGCCCGGGCTGGGCTGCGGCACCTGCTGCTGCACGCGAGCGCGCCAGATCTGGGGACCAAGTTAGTAGGAAGTCCAAGGAGTCAGCCCGATGGGTCCACCGCGCTCCAGCCCCAGCCTCAGGGGACGCCACAGGAACAGGGCACACGTGGGGCTGGGCCGCTCCTGTGCCAACTCCATAAGCAGAGAACACACTGGGAGGCACATGAAAGACCAGCCAGCCGGCCTCCTGATTCAACAGAGGAACCTGAGTGCTTCACCAAAAACAAAAACAAAAAGGAGCGAGCAGGCTCACACTGAAACAGACATAGATCTGGCGCAAGGAAGCCAGCAACTCACAACAATCCAGACTGCGTAAGTTACACCGCAAGACACTTCCCCCATCAGAGTCCCTGGAACGGAATCAACCCTGTCTGTCCCCTGACGCTGAAGCGAGGAGTGGTGCAATGTCGCCGCTGGCCCCTGGGGTTACAGCACGGAGGGCAGGGTCGGTCCCCTCCCCTCCCTCATCCTATCTAGGGACCCCCGCGTGGGTCTGCAATCCTCTGCCTATGTAACAAACGTTCATGAATAAATAAATGCTCCCTGGTCTCTAGCCCTGGCGCGGTCTCCATGTGCTGGAGGCCACCATGAGGGAGGGCAGTGTGGAGGAGGGCTGACACACAGGAGGCCGGGGCAGCAACAAGCACGCAGGGCTCCTACACAGCTGCAGGAAGGCACGAGCTAGGCGGGTGGATGGTTGGGAGGGTGGAGAAAGGAAGGGCCTGAGTAAGGTAGCAGGGAGCTTTTGGGGGGATGAGCCAGGCTCCTGCTCCAGGTTCCGACCTGGAGGTGACACAGGGACCTCATCGGCCTGCCAAGGCCAGTCCGGGACAGCGGCAGTGGCACTAGGCAGGATGCCCCAGTGGTGCCCACCACCTGCTCTGGGTCGGGTTCCTTCAGGCACCCCACAGGCAGCCAAGGGGCGACGAGAGATCACAGCCCACATGTTATACAAGCCTGCTTCCGGCCCACCCATCTCCGGAGTCTGCAAGCCTCAGCCCTGTGCTTCAGCTGGATCAGCTCCGTCATGGGGGAGAGGGTGCCGGGGGAGGGGGATGAAGGCCGTGTTAGCTCCTAGATGTCCTCTTTTGGGGGGCCAAACTTGAGGTATCCCTGCTCCCTCCGTCCAGTGACAAGTCCGAGATTCAGTTTCCCCAGATAGCAAACCGACACACATGTGCCTACTTTGCAGGATGGGGGGAGGGGAACTGGGCCCAATGCACATCAAGTCCTCAGCCAGCCGCACCTGTTAGTAGCTGTTATTTGGGGTACCCCAAGACACCAAACCGCTGCCTCTGCAGGAACAAAGCCGGAGCCAAAGAGAGTAGGGGGCTAACCAGAGAGGGAAGGGGGACCTCCAGGCCATCCTGGGGTGAGGGAGCTGGCCCTGTAGGGAAGGTACGAGAAGCCGGGAAGTAGCTGAGGTCAAGCCTTTTCAACCAAACTGGGGGGCAGGAGGTCAGGAAAACGACGCTGCAGACGCCCGAAGACCAAGGGGCTCATGAACATTCACTGAATCCAAATAAACCACCTAGATGTCCACTCGGGAGAGACTTTGTCGCTTACTCACCGCAGCGGCTGCAAATCCGTCCCCTGCGCTCCGGATGCTGCTGCCGCCGCTGCCACGGACTGCGCAAGCGCAGGCGTAAACAAGCAGCATGGCTTCCTGGTCAAACAGTCCCTCCTCCACCTGCAGGCTCCTCCACCTGCCACAGCTGCGTGAGGGTGCTGGGATCCTGCGCACCTGAGCCTGCCTAGGGTGTATGCTGCGGGGGAGCCGCGGAAGCCTGGGCTGAGGCCAACCCAGGGCCTGGAATGTTCTTTCTCATGGGGGAAGGTGCAGACAGATCCCCTGCCCAGCCAGAAGCGTGTGCCTAGGCCTGGGTGACCTTGGGAGGAACCATGTGATGGGGCTCCTGTGGGCAGAGCAGCTGAGGATCACGCTACAACAGCAGCCACCAGGCAGCCACTCTGGGCCTCTCCCCAACTCCCAGCTCCAGAAACTTCTCTCTCTGCCTCCCCATGGAGAGAAGAATTCAGATTCCATCCTGGGTAGTTTCAGCTTACAAAAATGTCTTTATTCAGCCAGTTTCCCTCCTCTCGGCGTAACACAACAGCGTGACACAGATGGGCTGGGGAGGTCAGGCTGGTGCTGCCTCTGCAGAGACGTCAGTGGCCCTGGCCAGCCAGCAGGACTCCGCATACACAGGCGTGCCTTCTGGTCCCACCCAGGAAGCAAACCACACCCCAGGGGCTCCAGAATGCCAGGACCAGGCTGGGCCCTGGGCATGTGAGGATCAAGAGTGTCACACACACGCTGAGGGCGTCGTGGGCATAACACACCTGCAGTTGGGTCTCCTCCTTCCCGGAGCTGGCGCTGGGCCCCTGCAGGCTGCACGGTGGGTCCCAAGCTGGGCGCCATGCCTGGCACCTCCCCATGGTGGATGGTCGGGCCATTCATAGGTCCAGGACATCCCTGCCAGGAGGAGCCCTGCCTGGCGCTACTGCTGCTTGTGTGGCAGGGCCTTGCAGGTGGGCAGCTTGCTGTGGATGAGCGTGAGCCCGCAGAGGATGAGGAACACGCCGCCCCACCACAGCACCTCCTGACACTCTCCGTACAGCACGTAGCCCAGGAAGGCCTGTGGGACAGACGACGCAGCCATGAGGCACTCGGCAGGCTCAGCCGGGCGCAGCCTCACTCCCCCGAGCCACTTCCCACTCCACTCTCTTGTGTTTGGGCCACCGTGTCAGGTGGCCCTGGCACGCAGCTGGTACCCTGCTGCTCCCCGACCCCAGCTGGGCTTCTAGGCTGCCTGGAGGTCAGCTCCCGCTGGCTCATCTGGCCAGCGAAGGGAGGCAAGGTCTCAGTAGCCCCTGGGGTCCTCTAGACACGGCCAGGTTGCACAGGGACTTCAGAAGCTCCACCCTACACGCACAGGGGCTTCTCATGGCCACCATGGACACATCCTTTCATGACAGTCAACTCAGAGTCCTCAACCTCTGCTTCAGCTCCTGCCCCAGACCCTCATTCACCAGCACCCCCACACCCAGGCTACTCACTGAGCTGAGGATGTTGGAGAACGTCACGGTGACAGAGGCGATGGCTGAAGACATGGAGAAGCTGAGGCCGTGGCTAAAGAAGGTCCACATCAGGGAGTTGGTGGTCGCCATCACCATAATGCCTAGGACGCATGTCACCACGTTCACCTGCAGGATAAAGTGTTGCTGCGGCCACGCCCATTCTGGACAGCGCCTCCTGGTGGAGCCTCCCCGGCACAACACGACCCTGCGGGGTGGATGCCTGGCGCCAGAGAATCTATTGAAATGTCCCCATGGCTCTGGGGTCGGGGTGGACTTCGCCTCACCCTTAGCAGGCAGCTGATGCATCCTACAGACGAAGCACATTCACACACACACACACACACACACACACTCACACTCACACTCACACACAAATACTCTTACGTGGCCATCGCACTGGCCATGTGTCCCTGGGCAGACACCACACGTGCTCATCACTCATGGCTGTTTTTTGTGACCTCTCTGCAGGCCAATGCCAGGGGGCCACGCAGCTGTCTGGGTCCCGGGTGAACGGGGGTTTGGGAGGCTGGAGTCCCTAATTCCACAGAGGCTCAGAATGAACGAGAGCGCCCTGTGCAGTCACGCCCGCCTGGAGCCAGTCTTGCCTGGAATTCGCTGCCTTCTCTCCTGCCTTTACTGCACCATACCGACATGGCACCAGAGGCATTCAGGCACCGGTCTAACAGTGCCACGCTGGTGACAGCCACTGGGCCTCCAACCCACTCAGTGTGGCTCCTGGCTCTCCACCAGGACACAGCTCTGCTGGCCTGAGGCTCCTGGGGTCACGTGGAGAATTTGCAGCAGATGTGTGTACATATGTGTGTGCATTTTTTTTTTAAAGGAGCAAGCCTCTACAGAGTAGGATGTACCCTTTCCTCCAGGAACCAACTACCCAGCTACTGGGAACTGTTTAGAACGAGTGTCGGTGCCCAGTATTTATAAAGAAGGGGAAGCTTCTTACACATGGGAGATGCAGGCTGCACCCAGCTGCCCTGCAGCAGCATCACAGGGTACACATGGACCACGCTTCGGGGGGACGCGAGTGGCACCTGCCAGCCCAGAGCGCAGCCGTCAGGACCCCACCCTTCAGCTACCGGCAGCCCCACGCCGGGGTGGAAGTGAGTGGGAGGAATGGATAACACCCTTCACACCTGGACAGTCTCGTGGAGGGAAATTCTCAGGGGGTTTTAGAGCGAGGTGTTTCCCGGGAGCAAGCTAGCCCGATCGGAGGCAAGAGGCCTTCAGACCTCGAGCCCACAAGTGGCCGCGAGGCGCGGCGGGACTGGGGCCAAAGGATGACCTCTCCCGCCCCGGGGTGCCCCTTCCCGCGCCGCCCGCCCCGCAGCAGCGCGCCCCGGGCTCGACCTCGCTGCCGAAGGCCAGCTTGGCGGAGGCGGCGGCCAAGGCCCCGAACGCGCCGGCGCACAGGCAGTTGAGCACGCCCCAGAAGCGGCGCCGCATCGCGCCCGCCTGGAGGTGCGGGGGGAACTCGGCGGGGCTGTCGGGGTAGGCGGCGGCCGCCACGGCGCCGCCCGGAGACCGCGGCTCCTCGGCCATGGTGCCGGCCGCCACTTTGCTCGGGGCACGCCGGCGTCACGTGACGCGACGCTCACGTGAGCGGAGCGACCAATCCGGACTGCAGCTTCCGCATCAGGCGCGTCCTGGGGAGCAGCCGTGAGGCCCGGGGGGAGAGTGCCTGCCACGCACATCAGGGACCCAGTTTGAGTTCCCAGCTCCGGTTTCTCTTACTTTTTCACATTTGCAGGAGAAATGGCGAATCCGAGGCGCTGCCCCGCTGAGCCCGTCCACATTCACTCCGGTCTAGACTGAGAAGCGCAGGATGCAGCGCCCGGGCAGTCAGAAACCCGGGGAGCAGCAAACGCCAACAGCCCAGGATAGTCCCTCATCAGGCCCGGCCTCACTTCCAGCTTCCTGGGCTCTCACCTGTCAGACGTTTTGAAGACATCGCCTTGAGGAGATGAGCAATACTGTAGGACTCACCTCTCTGGGGAACCTTCACTTGCCGGCTAGAGACTTTCCTGGTGGCCTGTCCACACACCACTGAGGGATAACCCATTAGGCTCAGTGTCCCCTGGGCCATCGGCCCTGTGGCTCTGCCTCTGCGGTCTGTCCCTGCCGCTTCGTGTTTCATCTCCAAGCCGCCCCAGTGCCTGGCGCAGGGCCTTGTTCCAGCAGTGACGGTCACCATCGACGGTGGCTCAGTTGGAAAGAGTTCTGCTTCTTGCAGATCAGCGAGAAAGCTTGATAGAATGAGGATTCTGCCCTGAAATCTTTTTTTAAAGGTTTATTTGAAAGGCAGAGTGAGGGTGAGTGAGCTTATGCACTGGTTCATTCCCCAGCTGGTTACAATGGCCACGGCTGGCAAGGCCAAAGCCAGGAGCCAGAGGGGCTGGGCCCGAGCATCAGGCCGCCATCTGCTGCTTCCACAGGCACGGGAGCAGGAGTGGACGCCGAGCAGCGAGGACTGGGACAGGCGTGGCTGACAGCAGATGCCAGGGACCGCAGGCGGAGACTTAACCTGTAGTGTTGCCCTGGCCCTCCAGGAGGAGCCAAGGCCTGCCTGCTCCCCTCAGCGCACACAAGCCACACACTCAGCTCCCTCCCAGGCCTCTGCCAGGGCGGAAGCCACATGGTGTGTCTGTTCTTGCTCTGTGCCCAGAATTGTTAGCAGCTCAAGTCCTTGCTACACAGGTTGATTACAGAAACCACCACTGACAGCCAAAGCTGCTAAGAGCACCACGGTACCCATTAGGGCTGCATGAACTACGTACGGCAGCATAGACAGTGCACTGAGCTTCAGGTAAACAAGCCCTGGGGCCGGTGTGGGGTCACAGGTGGCTAAGCTGCGGCCTGTGATGCTGGTGCCCATGTAAGCAAGCGCTGCTTCAAGCTCTGGCTGTTCCTTTTTTGGTCTGTTTTTAAAGATTTATTATTATTGGAAAGTCAGATATACAGAGAGGGGGAGAGACAGGAAGATCTCCGGTCTGATGTCCCACTCCCTAAGTGACTGCAATGGCTGGTGTTGCACCGATCTGAAGCCAGGAGCCAGGAACCTCTTCCAGGTCTCCCATGCAGGTGCAGGGTCCTAAGGCTTTGGGCCGTCCTTGACTGCTTTCCCAGGCCACAGGGAGCTAGATGGGAAGCAGGGCTGCCGGGATTAGAACTGATGTCCACATGGGATCCTGGCTTGTGCAAGGCAAGGACTTTAGCTGCTAGACCACCACGCTGGGTCTCCTCCCCCCTTTTTTTAAAGATTGATTTTATTTTTATTGGAAAGGCAGATAGAGACATAAGGATCTTCCATCCGATGATTCACTCCCAAAATAGCTACAACAGCCAGAGCTGATCCAAAGCCAGGGGCTTCCAGGTCTCCCATGTGGGTGCAGGGTCCCAAGGCTTTGGGCTGTCCTCTCCTGCTTTCCCAGGCCACAAGAAGGGAGCTGGAAGGGAAGTGGAGCCACCAGAATTAGAACCTGCACCCATATAGGATCCCAGGCGTACAAGCCAGCTAGGCTACTGTGCTGGGTCTTGTCTATTCCACCTTCAGCCTGGTTCCCTGTTTATTTGCCTGGGAAAGCAGTGAAAGATGGCTCATGTTGCTGGCCTTGCCACCCACACGGGAGACCTGAGTGGAGATGCAGACCCTTGGCTTCTACTTGCCCAGTCCCACCTGTTGTGGCCAGTTAGGAAATGTGTCAGTGAATAGATCTAAAAAAAAAAGTCTCCAGAGTGGCTCGTGAGTTCTGGGAGACCTTTCCAAATGTCCCACATCTTTAAGGGTCAGAAGTCACAACTTGAGGCTAAGAGAGAGCTGAAAAGTTTGAAGTGCCAAGGGGCTGGAGCGGTGGTGTAGTAGACTAATCCTCCACCTGTGGTGCCATTTTGTATCCCAGCTGCTCCACTTTTTTCCTTTTCTGAAGAAAGGCAGATTTAGAGAGAAAGCTCTTCCATCTGCTAGGTAACTCTCAAAATGGCTGCATTCTAAAGGTGAGCCAATCTGAAGCCGGGAGCTTCTTCAGGGTCTCCCATGTGGATGCAGGGAGCTGGATGGGAAGCAGGGCCACCAGGACATGGTGTCCATATGGGATCCCAGTGGTTGCAAGGCAAGGACTTCAGCCACTAGGCTGCTGTGTTTGGCTCAAATTTTCCATTTTCAAACTGCTCAATTTCTAGTAAATTTATAGAGCTGTGCAGTCATTATTACAAGCCAGTCTTTTTTGTTATAGTTTAAAAGATTTGTTTATTTGAATAGCATAGTAGGAGGGGCTCACTCCTGGTTCACTGCCCGAGAGGCTCCAGCAGCTGGGAAGGGGCCAGGCTGAAGCGAGAAGCCTGGAAGTCTACTCCAGAACTCGCCTGTGGATGGCAGGAGCCCCCAAGTACCCGCGCCGTCTTCCACTACTTTCCCAGGCACACTGGCAGGGAACCGGATCAGAAGCAGAAGAGCCAGGAATTGACCCAGTGCCAATATGAGACGCCATGCCAGCTGGTGACTTAACCTGCTGTTACAATGCAGTTTTTGAAACATTTTTACCACTCAAAAAATTCCCTGGGGCCCATCCCCATCTCCAAGCAACCAGCCTATTCCATTTTGCCTTTCTGCATCCCCACACTCCCCAAAGCAGACGGTGTGACTCAGGATCTGGCTTGTCTCCCCGTGTTCTGTGGGCTCTGTGTTGCTGCACGTGGCAGCGAGCCCCTTTCTGAATGCCCAGCAGTGTCACACAGTGTCAACAGCACAGGCATTTGGTAAACACAGTGGCATACTGCTGTACTCATGTGGTTGGCTGTAGTAAAAACCTGACAGCAGTAAGTGTTGGCGAGGCTATGGAGCACCTGGAAGGGACTGCTGGTGGGAACAGAACATGGAACAGCCCAGTGGTATGCTGGGAAAACAGCAGCCTGCAGCCATGCCTCCCAGGAGTCCCAGCAATCCCATTCTGCCCAGACCAAGACTTGCGTGTGAGTGTTTAAGGCTGCTTTATTCTAACAGTCCCACACTACAAACGGCTCCAATGCCCCGAACCTGAGGGAGGGACAAGAGCTCTCGTGTAAGGATGTGGCACACCCATACAATACAGTCCTTGCTGTGCGTACACACCATGAAGCGTGCCTCCTGGGAGTCCTTGTTCATCTCTGAAGTTCACTGCTGACCAATACCCGGCATTCAGCAGGTGCTGGCTGAACATACACTGAATGAGCGAGGTGAATCGCTGAAACTGTTCATTCTTTTTAAAGATTTTATTTGAAAAATGTTCCTATTTACATGCATAGAAAATGCTCATGAACATCCTTAAAAGAATATAAACATAAGCTATATTAAATTTTGCTTCTCATACGCACTACAAAAATCAGTCATCAAATTCACTAAGTTACACCCTAGCCAGAGCTTCTCACCCGACAACAGAAACTATAGAACCGATCCGACAGATCCCGCGCAAGGCCCAGCTGCAGAGGTTTATTTCAGAAATGCACACAGGCCTTCCCAGCAAGTATTTACAATTGAACTCGACCTTGAAATGGAGCAGTAGCTGACACACCGTCCAACAGCCTGTGGAGTAGATGTGGAATTTTCCTTAGCAAGCCCAGTCAGCTAGGACGGCCACACACACATCAGATGTCAAAGACTTTTTAAACTCAGCTCTACCAAGCGGGTAAGGGTAGGTCTTACTGTTAGAAGACAAAAAACAAAAACCAAAATCCAAATCTCCAAACAGTGTGCGGCCCGGGGAGAGCAGGATCCTTAGGACTCGGCTTTTATCTTCTCCTTTAAAAATACATTTTCAACACGCAACTTTTCCATGTCCTGACAAGTCATTAAAAATAAAAAGGAAAAAAAGAAAGTTAAGCCTCTGATTCTTAAAGGGAGAATTACTTGGCATTCATGAAATATATATTTCAAACTATGACCAGAACTTTCAGTTCGTAAACTGCTTCGAATCTGCCATTCACAAGAATCTGACTGGCTGACTCCTGATCGAATAGCAACGCTGTGTGCACCTCAGGCCGGCTGAGTCGCCTCCTCTGCGCCTGCGCACCTCAGGCCGGCTGGAGTCGCCTCCTCTGCGCCTGCGTGCCCGCGGCCAGCAGTTCTTGGCACTTACCTCGGCGAGCCTGACGTTCTCCTTCTTGAGCCGCACCACGTACTGGATCTTCTGGTGGAGGTTCTGGTGGCCGACCAGCTTTCCGTTCTCCTCGGCCAGTCCCACCACCTGCTTCCTCAGCAGCTCCATCTCCTGCAGGCCAGCGGGGAGGAGAGGCAGGTCTCACTATGTTGTTACAGCCATGTTCCATCTGGCCTCCCAGCAGCATTGAAGAGCCAGCGGGCAGGGATGCCCAGCTTTCCTGCAGCACCTCTGCCCTGGGGTGCCCACTCACGACCTAGGGGCGCATACACTCAGCTCTGCTCTCCCAGCACATAACCCACCTGGAATGTTCTCTCCCGTTCTTCGTACATTTCCTCCAGCCGGGATCTCAGCTGCTCCTTTTCCTGGAACGCTTTGGCCTCCAAAGTTCTGGTTCGTTCCACCTCCGCAGTCATCCTG